GCTGACTGGCTGGCCCTGAAGACCTGGGTTTGTGCCCCCTCCCCCATAGGGACGCCATTTGACCTCCCTGAACCTGTTTCCTTTCTGTAGAAGGAGGTACACACCACCCACCCCTCTCCAGCAGCTGGGAGGGTTAGGCGGCCTAATGGCTATGGAAGTGGCTAAGCCAGCGCTCACACACGGGTTGTCGTTGTGCAGTGCCATGGAACTGGAGGAGGGAGAAGTCCGACCTCTGGCCCTGCCCATGTCCACACTGCTGCAGACGACCCCGGCCACGGCCGAGGGCAAAGAGAGGGTCAGCACTGGGACCAAGTTTGCCCTCAGGCTCTGGCTGCAACACCTGGGCCGGTGAGGGAGGGTTCCCCAGTACTGGGCTGAAGGCACTAGGGGGGGGGGGGGGCACAGAAAGAACAACTGCTCTGGGGAACCCTCAGGGTGACGCCCCTACCATGTGCAACTGGAGCTCGTGTGGACCCTGGGCCTGCAAAGGAAGAACAGGACGTGGACCCCCTCCCCCCAAACCAGGGACCTGGAAAACCAAGTGCATAATCCCCTCCCCAGCCCACCTCTATGACACAGAAGATTCACAACCTTTATTATGGGTAAGAACTTTGCTACAACTTTGGAAATAAAAAGTAAAATTACAACAGAGGTCCTAGGCCCTGGAGGAGCCTGAAAAAGGAGACCGGGGACAACACAAGGGTCCTCCCACCTCCCAGGAAAGGTGCAGAGTCAGCCAGACCTCACCACAGGCTGCGGGCCTTTGGAGGCTCGGGCGCTGGGCTGGTCAGCGTGAGAAACACTGTGAACTTAAATATATAAATAGAGAGAGCCCCAGGCATCGGCCGGGCCCTGCTCCCAGACTCCTGGGGGTCAGGGCTAAGGCCTTGTCTCCGCCTCAGGGAGGTACACTGGGAAGCAGGAGGCAGGGGAAGTCGTCTTTGGATGTATTTTGGTTTTCCTTGTTTATGTACAAAAAAATCTACAACCCAAAATAGAGTTCTCTGTCCATGTGTCTGTCTGTCTTAGTTCTCCACCTGTCTGTTTGGCCAAAGAGAACGGATGGACATGAAGAGACGGTGGCTCTGGGGACTGGGAAGAGAGGGCATAGAATTCAGCCCTCCCCGCAACTCCCATCCCATCCCATCTGCCTCCCACTGCCTTCGCTAACACACCCAAAGGAATATGCCAGCCATCTCAAGAACACTTCAGAAAGCAGGAAGGACCCAATGTCCTTTAAAAGAGGTTAAATATTAACCCTTTGGATGCCGGCCTTGTCAGGCAGAAATGAGACCAAAAGCTAGTGTCTGTGCAGGTCTTTCTTGCCTGTGGCCAACCCCCCCCCTCGGGGGCCGAGTGGCCAGGGCTCTGGACTCCACAGCATCCTTGCCCATCCTTGCTGGGAGACAGTGAGGTTCCATAATCCAGGGGACTCAGTCCAGGGAAATGATGTCTGACCTGCAGCCAGTCAAAGAGGGACCTGGGGGCAGGGGTCCTCCGTGCCCCTCCCTCAAGGCCCCCCCAGGAGCCACAATGCTACTGACACGGCCAGGAGGGGGTGCTGGAGTGGTGCTGCGGTGAGAGTTCCCCAGTGTGGGGGCTAATGGGCCCAGGAAGTGGGAAGGGGTCCCTCGGTACTGGAAGAAATGGCCAAGGGCGTCCTGCTCGTCTAGCGAGGTGATGACGGAGGGGCCGTAGTGCTGAGGGAAATCAAGGGCACAGTGTAAGGTTTTATCCGTTCTTTACCTGCCTCCCGTCACTCATCTCGGAAACATCCTGGATAAAGCAACCCCGCTGG